CCTGCATCCCCTACACTTGCTGCCCTCAGCTCTGGCAGTTTGGGGGTGCTGGGCTGGAGGATCCCCCCCCGTGAGCTGGCCTCCTCGGGGAGCAGCATGGCCAGTGGGTTGCTTTGGAGGAACCATCTCTTTCTGCTCTATGTCCCTGGGATGTCTGTCCTTTCCCAAGGGACGTCGCCCTCCCCGTGACACGGTGCAGCGGTGCGGGCTGTGCCGGAGCAGCCCCCCCTCCCCAGCCCTGCCCCCAGTTTCCGTGCCGTGGGCAGGTTCGGTGGCTTTCCCCCAGGACATGGAGGTGCCGGGCTCCTCCGGTGCGGCCCTATGGAGAGGTTGTACTGGCGAGGCGCGTGTCCGGATGGCAGCAGCTCCAGGAGCTGCGTAGGGATGATTTGTCATAGGCCATTTGCTTGCTTTTTCTTTTTTTTTTCCCCCGTAGCAGCTATTTTGGAAAGCAACCGAAGTGCTGCAGCGCTGCACGTTTCTTCCCCTTAATCCAAGGTGTGGGAAAGCTGCGGAGCGTTGCGCTGCACGGGGAGATGCGGCTCCATGCCGCATGGGAAGCCAGAAAGCTCCCTGTCACCCCGGTCTGGTCTAATTGAGGCACTCGTGGAGTGACCTTTGGTGATGCTTATCTCACGAGTGGGTTTAATTTCCACTCCATTGGCAAAGGAGATCCAGCCCTGCCCGTGCCGGGGCTGGGGCTGCTCCGTGCTCGCTGCCGGGTCGGGCCGGGATGCTGCTCCCGGGTTGAAACCGCAGCAGCAGGAGCCTAAAGGGCTTTCCCAGACGGAGGTACTGGGCATGGTGGAGCCCAGCGGAGCAGCCTTGCTCTCCTGCACTGCCTGCACCAGCTTTAAACCCACCCGGTTTATTCAGTGGTGCTTTAACCGCATCCCCGGGGAGCTAATTCTCCAGCTGAGTGTGTCTCACCGGGTTTTTGGGAGGGACAGCCCGGCCGTTGCATTTTTGGGGCTGTTTGTAGGAAGATGAGGCATTGGGTCACTGGCAGTGCACAAGGAGGGGAGCGTGTGGTGCAAAACCCACCAGCCTCTCCCCGTGCCCGGTGGCTGTGGTGCTGCTGGCCCCAGGAGGCTCCCGGCAGCGCTTGTGCCGCGCCCGGTACGGTGGAGGGGCAGGATTTCCCATCTCAGGAGCATCTCGCCGAGTGCTGCCGCCTGTTCTTAGCGTCTCCAGCTGCAAATTGCTTTCAAATAGCTCCCGAGTTGCATCCCTGTTTCAGGAGGAAACCTGATGTGAATTTGCAGGGCCACTGCTCGCATTGACTTCATTGCCATAATCAGGCATCAGCGGAGCGAGCCCTGCAAGCGAGCGCCAGAGCGTCTCTGCGGCGTGCAAGCCTCCGGGGCACAG